CTGGGGCGCGATCGACCAATCACAGAGAGACTCTGGGAAGCACGCCGGAAGGTGCGGCCCAGTTATCCAATCAGAGACGACCCGGAAGCCGTCAGCGTCACGTGTGCAGAACATGTTACACAAGAGCGCACTTCTGGACGCATATTGGATAACGCGGAGTAATCAGAAATAGAGTAGACTTTCATCAGTTTCAGTTTTCCCACGGCTTAGTACACAATCGTACATCAGTTATAGTGAAGAAAACGTATTACTGAATATGTAATAGACATGGTCTGAAATACTGAAAACTAAATATTAGGTTTTAGAGGAAAAATAGTATAGAAAGTATTATAAACAGAATTATAAAGAAATTATTTCTACCACGTATTATTACTACGAAATGTCTGTAGAGGTTTCACAGTATTTTTGGAGTAGACACTGTATTGCTACTAATTGTTTTAGTAAAACAGAATTAGTATATTCAGATAAGGTCAATGTAAATCTAACAGCAGCGCTAAGTAAAGCGTACTCAGTAGGAACATTATGAGCCAATCCTACAAAAAGCACAGTAGCTCCCATCGACTAATCAGCCTAAAAATATTTAATCTATTCATACCGTAAAACGAAACGCGAATTACTTTAAGAATTCGTCTCTCGTGTAATTGCGGTTTATGATACACTCCCTGAATTAGAAAAAATGAAACACTCTTTAACAACTGAATTCCAGTCACTGAGTCGCAGAGTGATGATGTCATGCAGTCCGGCCATGTGTCTCTGGGAGACGTGAGGGGTAGCCGAGAGTTTGTTGGGGACTGTTCGTCCTCTTTCTGTGTTGCTGGTTTCAGTTGAAGACCAAACATGTCTTCGAGTTGTCGTAGACCCGAGCATATGGCACCGCCAGAGGTGGTAAGTGGCCTGTATTGTGCTTAGTTATTCCGGTGTTTTCATGAACACGGGCACCAGACGATCAGTGCAGAAAGCAAGCAGGGCATTTAAGACCGAGGTGTGGTGCGCTTTCCATGTTGTACTGTGTTGAATCTTTATAAAGGCATGTTCAGAAGTTGGAGGCGGTCTTTCTACCTTTGCTTTTATTTATACTTCAGTGGTATAACGTTACTATGACTGTCGTTGTGTAGGGTGTTTAAGGTGCGCACGGGAACTTTTCTGTGTTTTAATGTGTATGCATATTCGACGGAGCTGTGTTTAATTCTGTGTAGGCAGTTTTTACTGCTAATCTTGTTTACCATCTGATGTTGTTTTCTTACTTCGAGCAAATTCAGCCGTGAGTTAATGATCTTTTACTTATTCCATCTACTCCTGCACAAGATATGAATCCTCCCGATCCCACTGTTTACTCGCCAAGAAGGCCAAATAACGTCCGTGAACAGACACAGTAATATTAATATATTTAAAACAGCATCTGTCTGAAAGAACTGTATCCTGTCTAAATTGCCAAGAGGTTTGCTCGGATCGTTTTGTTTTTCTACGCTAGTTCACTGTATGCACTCTAGGAAAAGGAGCATTTGAGGTTTTTGAGAAAATCCGTTCTGACTAATGGTTATACATAGTCATAGACATAGACATCGTCAAAGTAATGCATCTCACTGCAATCAGAGGGCCACTTTAAGGTGCAGGTAATTTATTGGGGTCGAGCTGCCCTTCTCAAAGCAGGTGAGGAGGAATATTGCTGTCACACAGGGCTCTGAAGCCGGATCCAGTGCCTTGTGCCAACTGCTTTTTTTCTTGAAACTGGCAGGGTCATGTGATACTTGCTAGAGTAATCCTGTGCTCTTTTCATTCTGCAGTTCTACAATGAAGAGGAGGCCAGGAAGTATTCACAGAAGTAAGAGTTTTCTCTTGTTGTCTGCAGATTGTACTGGAAATTCAAGTGTTGTTCACAGCATTTGACTTTATACCTGTGATCACTGCACTGGCTTGCTGTTAATCTGAGATTTTGAGTCAAAGGTCAATTCTGTGCCTCCTGTCACAGTTTGCTGATTTCTGATCTGTTAACTCTTGTTAGAAATGTGTTCTGTGCTTTCAGTTAAATCTTCTTAAACTGTTGCCTTGCATTTTCCACTGATACCCCTTCTACCTGTCTATTCTATCCCATTCTATTACACTGCCTCATTTCTTCAAAGTCTGCTTTCCTGATGTTGGTTGTTAATTCGGACTCCATCTGCAGAGTTTCACATATTCCTCCAAGCACACCTTGTTCTGATCAGTCAGTTCTGCATGCTTGCAGTGCCGTGCAGTTTGCTCCTGGGTTTAGAGAACATTAAGAACCCCCTTGCCTCTGTCTTCTGTGCACATAGCACCTGTTTCACTGTGGCCAGTTTCCCAGCAGCAGTTCAATACCTTCCGGCTCTCCGAGTCTGCCAGTCGATTCTCTTCGTGTGACCCTGGCGGTGTGGTTGGGTTGCAGCTCCCGTATGATCGAGATCCAGACCCAGATGTCTGAGAGAGCCGTCGAGCTCCTGAACCTGCCCGAGGACCAGCCCTGCTACCTCCTGGATGTGGGGTAAGTGTCCGTCCCCGGGGTCCTGGCTGTTTTCAGGGTGACTGACCGATGCCTGTAACTGCATGTCAGTGGCCTTTGGCTTGGAGTGTCCATGGTCCTCCGTAGCCACAGGGGGTTCTGCTTTTCATGCAAATTGAGTTTTATTGTTTCAAGTCATTTGTTTTCTTCATCAGCCTTTTCACGGGTCCTTAAATAAATCAAATCAATACTGATCCTGGTCATAGAATTGATTTAAGAACTCCTGCCCTCTGTCGCTCACAGTTCGTAAAATATCTTAGATTGAAGCCTTTTTTAAAACATTTGATTCTCAGGGTAGTCTGTGCATTTTAGCAAATCTTTCATCAAGGCAGGCAGTTTTCTATACATTTTCCCTGTATGAGTCACTCCTGTTTTTATTTGGATCGGTTTTGGTTTTGTTCATCCTAGACTGAGTCTGACCCACTTCAGGTTTTCCAAGCTTCTGGCTGTTGTCCTTACTGTAGTGATGAAATGGAAAGATAGATCACGTAAAGCACTGTTTGTGGCGTTGGCTTGTGAAAGAACTTGTACTTGGTAAATCATGACATGGATCTTGCTGCTGCGGTGCTGGAGCCTGACGTGTTCCTCTGCTTGGTGGGTGCAGGTGTGGCTCGGGGCTCAGTGGGGACTACCTCTCCGAACAGGGACACTACTGGGTAGGAGTGGACATCAGCACGGCCATGCTGGGTAAGCCTGCAGCTTTCTTTTTCTCCACACCGCACCCCGACACACACAGACACACACAGACACACCTTCAGATCTTAGTGATCATTGCAGTGCTCTTACTGCCTGCTCTGTAATCTGTGCTCCCATTTCTCATAAAGTTCACTGGAAGCCAACTGGGTGTGGAGCTCTATCTTGGATACCTCTGCCTGGTCTCTCACTTTCACTAGTTTAGTGCTGTGGTTTTTAAATACAATTCTGGCTGTTAGAGCCAGGTGAGATAAAATACTTCAAGCCTGCTTTCTCCGTCTCCTAACCCTGCCTTTGTGCTGTGAATTAAATTTGAAATTTCCTCTTGGTCTCTAGAATAGAGCTGCCTACCCGAGCACATCTTCCACAACTTCTCCTGAGTCTAGAGAGCTACAGCTTTGTAGGCTTTATAGGAAACTTAAACCCCTCAATGGACGAAGACCTGGTTAGACATCTTCCTCTCAGTCAGAGGTCCCCAGTCCTGGTCCTGGAGGGCTGATGTGTCTGCAGGTTTTCCAGGTCTCTTTTAAAGAACCAACACCCGAAGAAGGGAAAAAGTAGTAAATTGGTCCAGTTAAGCCCATAATGAGATGATCATGTAGTTAGAAGCCCAGCTGGCCTGAAAACCTCCAGGACCAGGACTGGGGATCCCTAATCTAAATCTTTTAAACTGTTGTGTGTAACTGAGAGAGAGAGGTGTGCTGGTGGAAGAACTAACTGAGCCTCACTATTGTGTGTCCTGACATGGGCTCAGTTATCCATAGGGAGAAAGGACCAGAATCAAAAGACAATCAAAGTCCCCTGTTATCCAGTCTCCTCTGTGTGGTGGTTGTGCATGTGACTCAAAGCCCTCTCACGCTTCTGCTCTGCCTGTGCCAGATGTGGCCCTTGACCGGGAGGTGGAGGGAGACCTGCTCCTGGGAGACATGGGACAGGGCCTGCCCTTCAGGCCCGGTGCCTTCGACGGGTGCATCAGGTAGGCCCCGCTCCCCTGGTCTCACCCCGGCCGGAGCCAGACCCCGCGCGCGGCTGACGTCTCGCTTGTCCTGTGTCTCTGCCAGCATCTCGGCCCTGCAGTGGCTGTGCAACGCGGACAAGAAGACGCACAGCCCCCCCAGGCGTCTGTACAGGTTCTTCAGCACGCTCTATGGCGCATTGGTAAGAATGGCCTGCATGCCGGGGGGCTTTAGTAGAGCCGAGTGTTAGCTGCGCAGCTTGGAGGCCTGGGACTGCAACCTCTTTTATTTCCCTTGCTTTTGGGATCATCGGATGTCCTCGTATCGGTGCAGGATGGGCGTCCTTGAGCACAGTGAGGGTGGGGTGTAGACTGGAGCTGCAGTAGGGGACAGGGTGCCGCTGTCTCTGGAAGCCCTGCGCTCCCGCGCAGGGGTCACTGTTGTTGCCAGCTCTGCCTGTCTTCACATCCACCCCTTAATCCTCTAGCCTGGCACCTTATATTTTGGATAGACAGGGATCTCTAGGCTGCACACTTTCTCATCCACATCCCCCACATTGAAGACCTCAGTTTTCTCCGTCTGTATCTTCTTCCTGCAGCGTGTCAGTGAGTATCTGTCACTTGTGTGTGTCTGTGTTTAGGCCCGGGGCTCTCGTGCTGTGTTCCAGATTTACCCCGAGAACTCGGAACAGGTGAGGAAAGGGGTCTTGCCGTCGGTGGTTTAGAGCTAAGGTTTCATTTGATCTAGTCTTAATCTACCTCTGCTTTTGCATTTTTCTAAATATTTGTGTTATTTTTGAAAACTCAGATGTATTTTAAGATGGTTTTGTACATGAATTGCAATCTGTCTTTCAAGCCAGCTGTTACCCTCTAGTTGGTCACTGTTCTCATCCAGATAACCAAAAGATTACTACGTACACCCCCTGACCTGTTTATTTTATTGTGTGATAGCAGGATGGCAACACTCAATTATGCAGCCTATGTGCATTGTAATACACATGTATCCAAAACACACACCTGACCTTTGTGTGTGTTGGAAGGAAGGAGCTATTCCCCATTGCTCCTGTAGCACTCTGTATCTGGTCTTTCACAAACCTTGCAACGAAAAGAAAGAGGGAACTGATGAAAACAAGAAGAAGCCATTCAGACCATTGTACACCTTCAGTTGTGAACAGCTAATGAAGTTAGAGTATCAGAAAAGCCTGGGGGCTTTGCAGAGCTGTCTCTCTAACAGGTGTCGCACCTCTCCTGATCGCAGCTGGAGCTGATCACGTCCCAGGCCATGAAGGCTGGCTTCACTGGTGGCATGGTGGTGGATTACCCTAATAGCACCAAGGCTAAGAAGTGAGTAGTGTGCTTTCCCCTCCTGCAGGCGGAAGAACTAGATTTGTGTGTTTTTTCCATATAACCTTGAAACGGTTATGGGGCCTTAATGGGTCGTAGTGAATATCAGTTGTCCCCAGGACCCTTCCGGTGGTGCTGCAGTCTTCCTGGCTGTGTTATAATGGATAGTTGGGATATTATGATTTACACTTGCTATCACTAAGCCACTCACTGCTCCCTCTCAGCACTGGGTTCCTGGGTTCAATTCCAGACCTGGGGTGCTGTCTGTGTGGAGTCTGTATGTTCTCCCTGTGTTTGTGTTGGTTTCCTCCCAAAGTCCAGAGACATACTGGCAGGTTGATGTGATGGACTGGCTTCCCATCCAGGGTGTGCCGTGCCTTGTGCCCAGTGCTTGCTGGGATAGGCTTCGGCTCCCACATAACCCTGAACCGGCCGAGGCGTTTAGCAAATGGGTGGATGGATCACTCAGCGCTTAAAGCTGATGTGATTGCTTAATGTGAAAAAGTAAAAAAAAAAATGTCTTCAATGAGTAGAAGACTCTTACAAGTTCTCTTTCTTTCTCTCAGGTTTTTCCTCTGCCTGTTTGCTGGGGTCTCTGGAGTCTTGCCGAAGGTACTGATCCAAGAGCAGCATTGTTTAATTGGACGGGATAGCTTGGCGTAAGGCCCTGAAAGAGAAAATACGTCCGAGCCTCAGAAGTTTTTGAGTGACTTAAAGGGGCTGGATTGTATGGGTGTTTCTGCCCGACTGAAAGCCTGTCTGTGTGCACTTGTCTTTCAGGGCCTGGGCACAGAGACTGTGGACAGGGGGGTCTCTAATCAAGCAGTATTCACTGGACAGAGGTGAGACATCCACACCATTAACCTACTGTGTGAGCTGCTCTTGTCGGACACCCCACACCAGGGTCCACAAGCTGGTGGGAAAGCACAGTTACATCCGATACAATGCTTGTTTAATTAGTGGTTTCGATATTACTTTAAGGGAAGTTTTGTTAACATTATGCAGTGCGTGACTTAGGGCTTATCTGGAGGAAGCAGTGGCAGCTCCTAGGGGCTGTGTAGGGTAGAGCAGCCGGACCCGGCCCTAGGTGACATTCTGTCACACAGCGGATTGCAGGACCAGGAATCAGCTCCCTAGCCCGGCTGCAGAAGCAGCTGTGCCGCTGGGAAGGCTGGGAGTCTTCACCCGGGGCCAAAGCTTCCCTCTTCCTGGCAAAAGAGCCATCCCAGTGACGCAGCGGACCTGACAGTGCCGCAGCCACGTCCGGGAGGCAAGCCATGCTCCTGCAGTCCGTGCTGCTGAGCTTTGCAAAGCGCCAGGCAGAGACTAGATCTGCAGGTGTCGTGTCGGAGCAAGAAAGGCTGTAAACATGTCAGAGTGTCTTCGCACAGAAGGGCTCCTCGTCTCTTCGCTGTTCCAAATTTCTTTCACACTTACAGGCCTCGGCATTGGTCACTGTGCTGAGTCACTCTCTGCCTTCTGTTGCTGTATTTGGGAGAGGCGCTTTCTTGAGTATTAATGCAGCTTTCCAATACCAAGCATTAGGGCTAGGAAGGTCTCTTGTGTGGCGCCAGCGGTGTGAATCCGGCTGGCAGTGCCGAGGTGCAGGGGGGAGGGTGTCTGGTCTGTGGCCCCGCAGCAGAACAGGCCTGGCCTCCCCTGCTCTGCAGGGGCCGAGGGACCGAGAGGAACAGGGAGAGGGCCTTCGTCCTGCTGGGCTGGAGAGGCCACCCTGCAGGTTTTCCTCCCTCTTACAGGCTCCTGTCGTGCTCACAGGCGGGGGCTCAGTTGTTCTAATACGCATGTCGCCTTTCTGATATACTTGTTTGTGTATCTGTGCTTTAAAGAGGACTTCATCGCAGCGTTCCGGAGATGTGGTGTTGGTAGAGAGAGTGGGGTCTGCCCAACTGCACGTTACACCTTTTCTCCTCCTCTCAGGTCCCGTTTCAAGCAGATGAAGGGGAAATCGGTGAAGAAAAGCAAGGACTGGATCCTGGAGAAGAAGGAGAGGCGGAGACGACAGGGCAGGTGAGATGATGTGACTGCTCCATGCCTGGGGAGAGAACAGAGTCTGCAGTTACTGCAGGGGGCCACTAGGCGGCACTCTCGGAGTGTCTTTCAGAGCCTTTTAATGGCCACGAACGAAAATCAGCTGAGAACTGTCAAATAAATAGTGCATGGTTGGGTAATTTTTTTTTACTTAAGATTAAAGTTTTAGATGGCTTTTTCTTTGCAAAGCATTGCCTTGGGACCTGTAACATTCCACTGTAGAAGACAATGGGCAACACATTGAGAAGCTTGTGCTCTAAAGCTTTTAGTAGAGTTAAAAGCCTCACTTTGCCCGCTGCCCAGCAGGGCTTCAGACTCTCTTCCTGCGTGCCCACAGTCGGCACAGCTGGGGTGTGCTTTAGAGGTCACTCCCTGCTGCTGGGCAAAGTGACCACTGCCCCCCCTCTTCATGGGGCTTGGAAAGAGCGCTTGTGTGGCACCAGCGAGCGGCAACAGGCAGGGGGCGACCTTCCCTTCCCTGCGCTGCGCTGCGCATGTGGCCACAGTGCTGGAAGGCAGGGCTCTGGCCAAGTGGACAGTCCTCTAAAGGAAGAGCCCCCTGCTTGAGCAGCGGTGGCGAAGTGTGGTGATGTGTCAGGCATTCCCGATGTGGCCTGCTCAGCTCTGTGCGCCTGTGACTGCTGCCTCTTTCCTCTTTCAGAGAGGTCCGTGCCGATACGAAGTACACCGGGCGACAGAGGAAACCCCGGTTTTAATCAGCCAGTGGGGCGTGACCATGTCCTCCGTGGCGTGAACTTTATGAACTGGGTTTGCTGTGCCACAGAAGAGGGGAGAACAGGTTGGAAAGGTGTTCCTGGCCTTGCGTTTTGGAGGAGAAACTTCCCCGAATGGGAATTATGAACTGCTCAACCCTTATATCTGCAGCTCAAGCAGAGAGCTCTCCAGCGCCTTCCTGTATAATCGTTCTTACTACAGTTTGCTTTTTTTTCTGGAAATCTACAAGTGCTTTTTTCCCCCAGTGTCATGAAGGCAATATTGGGTGATTTTGACCCATGAATAATATCTGATTAAACTCTTTATTTTACCATGCCCATCTCCTTAGGAAAAGTTCATCAGGATCTCTTCTTGATGCAGCACGCTGGTTGATCACTGTTCTGTGCGTGACTGGTCTTTGCTTCACTCAGTGCACACATCCATGCTTCCAGGCTGAAGGGTACAAGGATGGCGAAGCCCGCGTGATGTGCTCTGGTGATCTGGGCTCGGTCCGGATCCAGGCCCGCTGTGCTCTGGTGATCTGGGCTCGGTCCGGATCCAGGCCCGCTGTGCTCTGGTGATCTGGGCTCGGTCCGGATCCAGGCCCGCTGTGCTCTGGTGATCTGGGCTCGGTTCGGATCCAGGCCCGCTGTGCTCTGCAGAGACTTGTGCACCATGCTCTCGTACAGCGCGGTGGAGAGAATGTCATGCCCGACAGTGGTGTGCTCCAGGTCTCTTTGGCAGACCCTGAAGCTGGATGATAGAGCGCACAGCTAGGAAATAAACACAAAGACTAGCAGCATTATTGATCTAGGAGGACCCAGGCTAGGAGGCCACCTGTGTCACGGTGATAAATACTTTATAGCCCTCTGGAGCTGTCCTGTTTACTTTTTGTCTGTGGAGAGCAAGTGATTCTTGCACAGCAGAGATAGACGACTCCAATCTTCAAGCTCTGTGGAGTCTTTTTCATTTCACCTCTGATCTTAGTTGCTTCACTGAGCTCATCATTGGGCTAGGTACTCATGTTCCGTGTTTTGAGCAGTTGGTAGTTATATAAAGTCCCTATAAAAGCTGCAGACCTTCATGATGAGCTCACTTTTCCTGTGAGTGATTTAATTTGACTCCACAGCTGGGTGTGTATAGCAGTGCTACTCAAGTGTGGACCTGAAGAGCCACAACCTGTTTGAAATTCTCAGCACACGAGGACTGGCAGACAGTGCTGAGCAAGACCATTGCAGTAACTGATTCGATCAGTGGAGAATGAGGCTCCAAGTCTAGGAACAACGGTCACTATTGCACTAATATCACTAATATGATTTATTTTCCTACAAGAAGCATTTTAAGTAAAACTGACAAGCAGGAATGGGTGCCTTTTCTGTTTTGGAAGTTTCAAGGATCATGAGAAATCGGGGGGCAGTTGTGCATTGGTTAGCATCCCTGCTCTCAGTGCTATGGCCCTGTTTTTGATTCCTGGGGTGCCAGCTGCCTGAGCTTGCTACAAACATTTGCTAAATGTGAAAGGGTTACTGAGCTCTATAACACAACTTTTAAATATAAAACTAACCCCTACGTTTCCTTATATCAATCATTATTCTGTTATTTGTTTTCCTTGTTAGTGCACTTTTTTAGTCATTTAAAAATATAGTGATGTGAAAAAGAAAATAAACCCCTTTTTAAAGGTTCTATAGTTTTAGATCTCAAGACATATCATAAGACATTCCTTACAATAGATAAATCTAACCTCATGTGATAGAAACACAGAGATTTTAATATGTCAGTATCAGCCACAATTCAGTAGCTTTGTGTGACACAGCAAGTGCACCCTGTGACGCCCTTACGTGTGGAAACCCCTTTAGCAGCAAAAACGTGAAGTACACGTTTCCTGTAAGAGTTTAGCAGTCTCTTACATTATCTGGGAGGAATTCTGGCGCAGCAGGGCTGGGGCCCTGGGTTCAAACCTGGACCCGTCAGTACCGCCGAGGGCCCACAGAGGTCGCCCTGGTCCCGGTGAAGCAGCGCTGTAAACATGCGTGAACTCCGCAGAGCGCAGCAGGGCGTTATCATGGGCAGCCTGTGCGGAAACAGCGGACTATTGCACTTTGAAGAGTGGCGGTACCGTGGTTGGTCTGAGGACTGAAAAAGAGTGATGACGACTTGGTGTGGTGGGGGGAGGGTAAATGAATTAAAGATCCTTCTGTAGTTGCGATCACCTGATGAACTTCTGGGTGGCGTCTTCGGGGTTAAACGGGTATGACCCCGTCTCACCTTTGGATGCGCGCTCTCTCCCTCTGAGCAAAGACGCGCGTCCCCCCCTCCTCTCCAGCCGTGCCACGCGCGTTCCCGCCTCCCTAACCCCCCCGCTCCAGTGCGCGCTCCCGCCCGCCCCTCACCACCGCTTTCCGTGGAAGGGAAAAAGAGGAGAGGAGAGTGAGCGAGTGGCGACACGGAGAGCATCTTCTGGAGGAGAGAAACTAGTTCGACAACTACAGCATACACCATGAAGGACCGCACACAAGAGCTGAGGAGTGTAAGTCCCGTTGGTTCGGTTCCGGGGAGCGGAGCAAGCGGTGGTTTGCTGCTGTCGCTCAGGGGGTCAGTCAGCGTGTGAGATCTCACCGCCGAGTGGTGCACATACCTGGGGCTTCACTGGGAAATGGGGATACTTCTCACGGCTCCCACTTCCATAAAATGACAGGATCGTGCGTGTCTTTGTGTCAGCTGAGTGTTTTGTCAAACACGGCGCGTCGCCCTGCTCCTCTGCAGGGCTGGAGTGAAAGTGTCTGGGGGTGTCCGTTCAGCAGCTGTTAACCCACTTTCAGGATAAAATAATGGATTTTTTCCTGAAGGGTTAACGGTGAAAACGGCGAGATACTGTCATTCTTGGGTAAAACGTCAGTGCAGATTCTAAGCGCAATGTTCAAGTTTTTTTTTTTTAAGCTGGTGTCAGAAACGCTGTCATTTCCGCGCTGAAGTATATTTTGTAAAAAATAAATAAATTTAAGAAATCACGTTCTCGGCACGTTTGATTCGGGCGCATCATTTGTGATGCCGAGAGGGTGACAACCTGCACGAGTACTGAGAGGATGAGGAAAAGAGTCCGGTTTCCTGAATATGGGTGCGTCTCTTGTGCGAGGAGGGGCTGGATTTAGGCGTTGCCTGAGTTCGGATGTGACCAGCGTTCATTTCGCCGCCAGCTGGGCGCCGGGTCCAGCTGGGACTGTCTGTTGTGGTAGAAGGTGCGAGATGTGAACTTTGAGTCTTGCGTCGACACCACTAACTGTAACATATTTGCTTCTCTGGGGAGTGGGCTTACAAGGGGCACAACGCGCGTCCGTGGTGGTGCTCGAGTCAGGCTGACTCACTTCAGGCTGGAGAATGCCGTGTTACATCGCCAGGAAACTTCTTGACCCTGACAGATCGCTTGGGCTGTCGTGGCTTAATGAGGCGAATCGCGTTATGAGGGAGAACAAGTACTGGCCCCGTCAGTGTCTGCTACTTCGGCTCGCAGGCTCAAAACAACGTTGTGGGTGACCTGACCTCCCAGGACACCTGTCTGCGCCAGCTGTCTCACCTGGGCAGCGCTGTTGCGTGACTGGGCGCTAGCTACACCTGGGGCCGAGAGACGGAGGTGCAGCCATGGGCTCCTTCCCCCGGCCTCGCCTCGCTTCTCGGGCGTGAAACAGCGCAATGAAGTCACTGTTCAGAACGCAGCAGCAGAAATCCCGAATTGCTCATGCTATATTTATTAACTCCTTCCCCTCTTTAGAATTGTTCAGCTCATCGCTGACCTGAACTCTGTACCGCGACTCAGAAATTCATAAGGTGTATTGCTGCAGATAAATGTATCATATCAGACAGCCCTTCACTTACATAACAGAGCGTTGCTGCTCAATAATTCTTAATATCTCCAAAGAAAACAGTAATTGCATTGGTCATTGCAGAATGTCAGAAAAGCTGGGACTAAATTCTAGCCTTATGAAGAATTTAGTCTTTGTCAGAATGTTAAATTAAATTGTAAGCTGTACGGTGTTTCCTGGAAAAGGTGTAGGTGTTGTCTTTTTTTAGTGAACTTTTGAGTTTTGTGAGAAATGAAAGGCTTTGGCAATTTTAGAGCTTATTTGTTGAAAGTAACAAATGTATCCTGCATTGTTATAGTGGTGAGTTCTTAGAGCCTTGTCAGCGAAGGTCAAGCTGAATCCTGAGAGATGACCTTGTCGATCACATCTTACAAATCAGATGGGAGAATCTGGCAGCTATTGTCTGCTACTGTTCTTCTTCTTTAAATCTTAGAACATGAAACGGTTCCCAATGAGAGGCGGTTTGACCCGTCTGGGCTGTCTGCTAGCTGAGGATCTCATCATTCTTGAAGGAAGCCAGGGTATCGTCTTCAACCACTTCTTCTGCCACCATAAGCCAGCCATCAAACTGTAGGCTTGGGACTGGCGATGGAACAGATCTGTTCCAGTGATGGTTCACGTGAAGTTGAGAAAGTTAGCGTGGAAGGGCTGTGGAGCTCGAACCCGCGTGCTTCGGCTGTGCTTTTACTGTGCTCCACGCCAGGTGAGAGGCCCGGAGTCATACAGGCAGTGAAACAGAAGGTGATCAAGTGTGCCGAGTGAACAGTGGTGCTGCTGAGAGCCCCAGTCGGAGACACAGGGGCTGATGGGTGTAGCCGTGTTGGGGTGTGAGCTCCTCAGGATTGTGTAGGTGACTGGTCTGGGGGATCAGAGATCACCTGCATATCCTTGGGCTACAGAGGGCACTGTGGCGTACGTGGAGTCTGGGCCTGTTAGGACTGAAAGCCTTGATCCATCACGCTGTGTTTTGTATTCAGCTTGCTGGAGCTACAGGGAAATATTGTAAGACTCTTGTTGCCTAGCAGTTTGACCCCTTTCTGGCCTCGTCACTGGGCTCTCATTGTTTTATTGGCCATATAAGATTTCTTGTATTAGTAATTTGTTTTTTCGCATACCCCAGCTTGCTCTCCATGAGACACACAGGCACACAGACGGGGAGAGAGAAGCTGGGGGTCAGAGAGCAGGGTCAGCCATTTATGCGGCTCCCCTGAAGCAGTTTGGGTTAAGGGTCTTGCTCAGGGACCCAACAGAGTGGCCGCAGGATATGAACCGGTAACCTTCCAGCCACAGGCGCAGATCCTTTTGTACAGAACACATGGCACAGGAATGAACAACACCCAGCACAGTCTATTCCTCTGTGTTCTGTACTGATTTTTAGGAATTTGTGAAAATAGAAAATTTGTGTCCCTGATCATGACATAAAGCTGGACTTTGGAAATGCCTGGAATACTGATTGCTCAGTTCCTCTGCAGTATTGCA